ATGTAAGTCTACAGGCCAGAAGAGCACGCCAGATCTCATTACAGATGGTTGTGAGTCACCATGTGGCTGCTGGGAATTGAACTCAGGTCCTCTGGAAGAACAGTCAATGCTTTTAACCACTGAGCCATCTCTCCAGCGCCCTACAGCCAGCTTTTTGCAAGGCATGCTCCGTTCCCTTGAGCATGAAGAACCTGAAGAACCATCATCGGCTCCCAGTGTCTGCACCATCCTCCACTCCCATTAGCAACATGAGAACCCACTTTCCCCACAACATCACCAACACTCATCAGGACCCTTCTTTTACAGTGGCTGTACAGTGGTATCTCAGTGTGGGTTTTGATCTCGTTTCCTGGTAACCAGTGATACTGAATATATTTTATGTGTTTTATCACATATCTGCATATCTTTAGATCCTTCACTGATTTAAGTTTTGTATGCATATGGTTGTGCTGAGCCTCCCAGTCATGACCCTCTTGGCTGAGTACAGAGATTATGTACACACACCACTATGCCTAGTTCCTGTGCTCATCTTTAATAATATGGGTGTCACTTTTGCGTATATACCCAAAGGATGCTCAACCATACCACAAGGACGTGTGCTCAACTATGTTCATAGTTCCATTATTTGTAATAGCCAGAACCTGGAAACAACCTAAATGCCCCTCAATTAAAGAATGAATAAAGACAATGTGGTATATTTACATAATGGAGTACTACACAGCAAAAAAAATGACATCTTGAAATTTGCAGATAAATGAATGGATCTAGAAAACATCATATTGAGAGAGGAAACCCAGATACAGAAAGACAAATATAATGTGTATTCACTCATAAGTGGCTTTTAGACATAAAGCAAAGAAAAACCAGTCTACAATTCACAATTCCAGAGAACTTAGACAACAAAGAGGACCCTAAGAGAGACATACGTGGATCTAAATAGGAAAGAGAAAAAAAACAAGATCTCCTGAGTAAATTGGGAGCGTGCTGATCATGGGACAGGATAGAAGGGGAAGGGGAGAAGGAAGAGGAGCAGAAAAAACAAATATATAGCTCAATAAAAACAATGTAAAAAGAAAAAATAATGTGGGCATTTTTTATTATTGAATACTTTTCATTTTCTACTATACTTTAAAACTTAACACAGTACGAAGGATTTGACTCCAACTTTACGTCGCTCACCAGGAAACAGGAGATTGTCTCCAGGGCACTTAAGTCCTAAAAGCTGTGGCTCTTAAATCTCTTTTCAGCTCCCAGATATCTGTAAGAATCTTAACAAAAACTCACTGCCATACAAACACATGTGCACACATCTTTTTTTTTCACCTGGTACCTAGGAGTTTCTAGGCCTTCCACTGTTCAGCCATCACCTGAAGTAGATGCTTTCTTTTTCCAGGAGGACTGTAAACCCACTTTTGAGTAACTGCCAAAGGGGGCAGCATAAAATGCCCAGATTCTCGGTTCCCACAGAGGACAGTGTGAGCAGTGTGCTGGAACTATCAAAATTTCTCTTAGAATAGTGTTTACAGTGGGCCGCTCTAAAGTCTGAGCGCCCACCGCAGATTTTCTCCGGTCCAGCTTCATGCCCTCATGCCCGGGATCTTCTCCGAACCAGTTCTGATCATACTTCACCCTAAACCTTCAACCTGCAACTGTAAAAAAGCAAAGCAGATTCTTTATCAGTTAGGAGAAGATTACAGTCTCCCCCCTCACCTGTCACCTAAACAGGTGCTCACCAGACCTGGTCAAGCTCAACTTTTCCTAAGGCAGCTGTCTGCTTCAACCTCGGAGGCACCAGAAGCCTTTAGAGTAAGTGTTTCCTCCTCTGTCTTTGCTGACAACTCCCTTCTCTTGTCTCTGTCCTGTCCATGCTCTTCGTGACAGCTGTTTGTGTCCCCCATGCCCTCGGTTATGTACAGCTTGTTGTGCAGCATCTTTCTCACCTGTAACTTTTAAGTTCTGGACTCACGGGTGTTCTGCACACAGAAAACACCATGCACAGCTCCTACACCTTCCTTGTCCTAGGGGAGGGGAGGCAGGACCTGGAGTCAGGGACGTCACAGAGCAGAAGACGCAGGTTATTTTCCATTTAAGACTTCAGAGCACGCTGTGCCAAGCGAGCTGCTACGTGCTTCACAAACATACTGAGTTCATTTCCACAAAAACCCTGAGGTAGGCACTCTTTTTACTGTTTTATCTTACAGAGGATAAAACTGAAGTGTAGAGAGGTTAGTTCAGTGGCTCGGGTTCACCTAGCTAAACTGGGCTGTGCTGGAATTAGGAGGAAGGTCATTCATACCCGGAGTCCACACTTCCTCTTGGCTCTGCTAGAGGGAGGGCTCCAGGGCCCTCTACAGGCCATTTTAACTTCCTTATAAAGTGGGGAAAATGACTGCCACTGCTTCCTAGAATCTAGACACAAATTTGTCGCGAATCCAGGGCAAGCAGAATGACCCAAGTCATGTGACACAGCAGTGTCTGTAAACAGTGACGGAAGACTTCATCCTCAGACACGCCGGTGCTGTGAAGGCAGAAGGCTGCCCTTGGCTACCTAGGATGCTCCAGGACAGGCTGGGCAACAAGAGACCCTGACTCAACAACAAAGTAAACGTCACATCCCTTATCATCTCATTTGCCCTGAGCAGTCACAGTTTTAAAAAAAACTGCTAAGAAACAAATTTACTTAGTTTGGACAAATTTGGGTAGTAAGAAATTTGAAAAACCAAAGTCCAGGGAATAACTACAATCCAACGTTCTACAAATTTAGACAACAGACTGCTTCAGCTCTTGCGAAAGCACAGTGTAATTCTAAGGAAATTCATAACACCTCATGATTCCTTGACTGCTCCCAGGGACTGGGCTGTCCTCTCCTCCCTGATAGGACACAACATAGAAACCTTTCATCTGAAGCTTGGGAGACTCGGAAATTCAAAAACCCCTTCAGACTAACCTACAGAACCAGCATTTTCCGAGCCTAAACAGTGCTTTAGAAATACATCTTCAGTAACTCCTCTTAACCCCAGGAACAGTACTCTCATTCTATAGAGAAGTACAATGAAGGCCGACGGTCAACATTTGAACTCACCCACTATGATTACTGAGCACTATCTGAAGAGCAGCATGCCGTTCAGCCCTCGGGAACAGAGGTCAGGGAAGGCAGCAGAGCGAGGCTGGTGCTGTTATGGGGCGTGCTCAGGAAAGCAAGAGCAGCTCCCTGCCCCTGGCCACTCCCATCACACAGGTTATGGCAGCCAAGCATCTGGGTGCTGTGGGGTAAAACAGCAGCGGCAGGCTGTGGGCAGAAGAGACCAGAAGGAAAGCATCCAGAGCAGGAGGAGAGCGGCATGTGGGCATCTAACGGACAACCGACATTTATCACTGGCTCAACGCATTTGAGTGCCTCCAAGAAGATGGGCTTGTGCAGTGTGTGAGGACCCCACGAGGAATGGGGCAGCAAAGGCCCTGCCCCAAGACGTATAATTCAAGTAACAAAGTCTTCTCGGAGGATGAAGAGCCCACAGAGAAACCTCTAGGAAACCTAATATGAGCAGCTCACTGAGGGAGGCACAGTGAGGACCATGTGCAGGCCAAGGTCATGGAGGCTCTGTAGGCACAACACAGTTGAGTTTTGTTCAGAGTGCAGTAAGAAGCCTCCTTAGGTCACAAAGTGGGAAGCAGTGACATTTCATTCCTGGTCTGAGAGTGTAGCTCTGGACACTCTGTGAAGGTGAATTACTGGTGTCCGGTACTGGAGTGGTACCAGGTGGGAGGCCATGCCCAGACTTTAGGTGAGAGTCTGTGTAGTCTGGAGCAGGCTTGTGCTGTAGAAGACAGCAGTGGGGGAGCTGAGACAAGCAGAAGCAGCAGGGGCTCCCGATAAACTGGGCAGAGCACATGGCAAGGAGTTAAGAGTAACACGGAGGAGCCAGCAAACACAAGCCCTGTCCTGAAGTGACTCTTAGCCAGAGGACAAGCCCAGAGTCCTCTGCTGGAAATGCGGAGTGTTGGACCCGTCCAGGACCACCAAGCAAAGGCATCTCACCAACCGGAGACCGCTCTCATTCCTTGACTGTAGAGTACACTGGCTTTACATGGTCGTAAGAGCCTGGCAACAGAATGGAATGTTCTAGAGAAGAGTGTGCTAAGTGAGGAAAGCCATCTGGAGCCCTCCAGTGATGGCGAATGATGTGGAGAGGCCAGGCAGACAGAAGGGAGCCTGCAGGAGCAATGGAGGACGGGAACAATGTGCAAAGCTTAGGTTGATAGTGTCCTCCATGGCAGGAGAGCAACGTTAGAATGAAGAGGGCTCAGGAGAGAGGAGACCAACCAGAACCATCACTGCCAACAGCTGTTTATGGAAATGTTTGCTGGAAAGGAGCAAATCGTATGGAGATGACCAGTTTTCCTGTTTCTCTTTGAAGGAAGAAGAAACAATAGGATGTTTGTATGCTGATGGGAAGGACCCACTAGCAGGGGGAATGGAAGGTTCTGGGTCCCTGAGCTGGCAAGAACAGCGTGTGCCTTCTCCTTGTCTAACCTGCATACTCCACTTCCTGTACTGGTCTGGCTCCTGTGATCCTTTGCTGCCCAGGACCCCGCTCTTCTCTCTCCACACCTCCTTGGTTGTCAATGGTGTGGCTTCAAACCCTGTCTCCCACCTGACTCTCTCCTCAGCATGCAATTGCTGAGCATTCACTGGCTGTCCCAGGAGCCCCATGCACTCTTTGACCTGGGGGTGGGGCAAACGCCTCCTAGCCAAGGATTTCACCATGCCCTTCACACACTTCTAGCCAGACCTTGCACGTAACATGGTGAGAAAGGGTAAGAAGCCAGCTGCGCAACTTTAGAGCCAGGCTTCCACTACATACTTCCCTAAGGGAAGCGCTGTAGTTTCTTTATTTTCAAACTGCATTAGAAAATCTTTATTGTAATTAGTACACAGCTATTCACATTTCAGTCAGAAAGAAAAAATATTGCTTTGTGGTAATAAATATTCATGTGAGAAAAGTCTGCAAATTGGTTTATTCTCACAAGTTACTGTTGGGAGAAGTCTTTCAAACAAGTCAGTGAAAATAATTAGCGCAGATCCTTCACCGCTGCTCTCACAGGCATCGTCTGTATTACAACTTTATAACCAAGTCTTCTGTCTGCGGCTGTCCAGGGCTACACGAGGGCCGTGAACTGCCTCACCGTCCTCTCACTTTCTCTTCTCAGCTCTTCAATGTGTGCATCCAGGCGCTCTAGAATATGGTGAGACCGGAGCTCCTCCTCCTCCAGGAACCTGGTAGCTATGGATCCCAGAGGAGAGACGGGCAGCGAGCACTGGGAGAGGGACAAACCGTGACATGTGTTAGGAAACAGGGGTGGATGCTCTGAGACTATCTGTGATATTTTCTGCCTAGCAATGCAAAGGGAATTTCCCTCTGAAGAGATATTTTTATCTTAATGTCAAGAAAAAGGAAGGTAAAGTTCTGAAAACATTGCACCACAGGTCTCTTTCTTTCTGACCCAAGCAGTGTCTATATGAAGAGTAAAATTGGTATAGAAAAGCTCGTCACTAGTTGGACAGGATCTCAGCTCAGACTTGAGTGTCTGCCTGCCACTCAGACAAGAACACAGCAAATGCCTGCTACTTCAGACTCTAAACATCACTCTCACTTTACAGCACTGAAATCTACAGAAAACAAATTGGATGCTGGTTAAGAATCAATACTTTTATCCCTTTCTCAAAATTTCACTTCATGGTCTTTGATCTGCAATTCTTGGATCTGGTGATGTTTCAGATCTCAGATTTTTGAAGGTAATATAGGAAATCTACCCCTCATTTACAGTTATATTTGAACATTACCCTGAATGCTGAGTTAGCACAAACTGCTGCCTCCAGAGTAAAGTATAGACATACATACACCCTGGAAGTCCCTTGTCTCCATCTGACAAGACAGAAGTAGGTCTCTAGAGTGAGAAATGACTTTCCCAGGGCTGACAGCACGCTAACTGCACGGTGCTACCTAGCATCACCACGTGAACACTGAGACAGAAATGCAGGATGAGGCTGCCCTGTACCACCTCCATTAGAACGTGTAAACCAGCTCTCCTGTTTTGTGTATGTCCACACACGGGCACAGCAGGACCACAGAAAAGTCTAATGGGCAGGCAAGCAGGCAACTGCTGAATAATCAGGACAACTATGCTAGCACCAAATATCGAGTACTTCTGAAGGGAAATACATGGATGCTCACACTAATCAGAAAAAGCAACATCAATAAAATCCACATCATCGCAGGTCAGAGAAGGTGTGCTGTCAAACTTAGGAAGAAAGTCACTTTTCTGGGTGATGAGTTTTTTGTTTGTTTTATTTTTTACTACATGTAAGTAAAACAAACATGTACTTGACAACTAAAGGGGAACATTTCCATGAAATTGCTGACACATTTTACAAAAATCAAGATTACTGAACTTTTACAAGGATACAACCACAGCTGACAACAGACAATGACTGTCCAACACAAGTACTTCCCTACTGAGGACAAAGAACAATAGAGTCCAGTGGTGGGGACAAGAGACCAGCACAAGGTCAAAGATGGCCTCTACCACTGGGGCCACTACAGGTACCTAAATCACACACTGCACACCTCAGATGCACCATCCTCTGCCACCTAACACCAGCTCCTCTTTTCCTTTCTCTATCCATGCTTTGGGACTCTACTGGCATCCAGAAAACAGCCCTTGATGCAATCGCTGTAGCACAGTCAGTCCTCTCTGGAAAAGGCAAGCAGGAAGGTGCAGGCTAACGTCAGTGGATACCTACACTCATATTTCAGAATTTGAAGTCATGTTGGCTGAATGTGCTTTCACAAGTAAAACTGCATGGTGGCAATGTGTGAAAATAATAAAGGGCACTGACTGGGACCCGGTAAGAAAAAAATCACAAACAAAAACAAAATACCCTCTCCAGCTTAAAATGAAAAATAAAATAAATGTTAAGATCAGAAAATTTCCATACCGAAGACACAAACTCTTCTTGGTCATTCATACAGTCAGACAGGACGTCAGAAAAGTTGGCATCGTTTATATCTAGTATTGAAGGCAAAGAGTGAGCATGGCACAGAAAGTTGGAAGGCAGAGACACGGTGGAGCTGTCAGGGCTGATGTGAGAACTCCGGGGACTGGGGCCCCTGGCCATGGGGTCTTTGCTACCCAATATTTGTTCTCGAGGCGAGTGGTGACCTGTTTTATACTGCTCAGTCTTTATTCCATCATGTCTGTGCTGGTGGCCATGGGTTGGCCTGGATAGCAGATTAGAAAACAAAATAAATGAAAAATTGTAGCAACTTTTCTTTCTCATAAATGCTGAAAGAAGTATGCTCATTTGAATGTTAAATAAGAAGCTAAGTAGCGAGGCACTGTCACTTACAAAGGAGCAGCCCACTTGGGGACATGTGTTCCTCACTCATTCAAGCCCTACTCTCATGCTTCCACCACACAGAGGCCAAACAAGCTGCCACTGTGATTCAGAGTGAGCAGGCAGGGCAGCCCTATGCCCAGAGAAGACACATAATGCCACTGTGGGTGAAAGCAGTGGTGGGGTGCCACCAAAGGCTTCTGACTGGAAAACACACAAGCTACATATGATGAGCTGAAGCCACTTGGCTTCTCATTGAATGAATCTTTCTTATGGTAATAACCTAAAATTAATTAACCAAAAATACAATGGATGCTTTTTATAAAAAGCCACATTTTACTTCTTATGGAACAGGTGGGACAGAGGTGGCGGGAAGCAGTATGGAAAGGCTCTGGGGAACAAGATGGTGTTTACACTACATCCAGGGTGCACAGAACAAAAGCTGTAACGAAATAAGGGCCGAACCACCTGAGCCGCTTATGTAGTCAGAATTAAACCCAGAGCCTGTGATGACTACTTCTCAAAGCAGAGGAAATCACATTGCAGCACACACATTTCAAAGAGACTTTTAAGAAACTTTACTTAAGTTCTGTGTTCTTGAACTCGGCTGCTCTGGTGTGTGTTGGTTTAAAGATCCTGTCATCTTTTTTTTTACACACGAGAGTAGCATGCTGCAGCTGAGACTTGGTGTTCATCAGATCTTTCTGGAGTTGTTGATTTTCAGACACTAATTTATTTAATGCCTCAATATAATTCTCCTGAAGGTCTGCTAGTGAAATCTCTTTTGCCTAATGGAAAAAGAATACTACAATCACTCGTGTGTTTAAGGGTACATACAATCAATCTACAATGGTGCTGGCTGAAATAGTTTCTTTTTTAGTTTTATTAATCCATGGCTTTACTTAAAGAAACTGAAAATTTGTCTTTAGCCATGTTAAGTAGAACACAGAGAAAGCATCAGTCTTCCTAGAGGAAAGGGAGGAGAAAATGGGGGCAGGATGGCTTCCTTTATATGAACATACAAGGGACAGAAAGAGGACAGAGGAAAGCTTCAAGAATAAGAGACAGGAGAAATCAAGAATAAAACAGCTCTTAAAGAAGAATGAGGGGCTCCCTACCCACCCTACCCCTGCTCACACACAGAATACCTGTAAAAGAAAATAAAAAGAACTAATTCAAAGAAAGTAATTTAAACACAAGGTTCTAAAAAATTCTGGCATAAAGTTAGGTGACATAAAAGCAGGACTCAAGCACATGGCAGGAATTACTACTGTGATCTGGTCTTAGTTCTAGGACCATGCATCTCATTTCTTGATAATACAGGTCTACTTTTGTTTTCTAATGATAGATTTCAATTAGCATTCTAAAAAAAATGGTGATCTTTACAGTTTAGCATTTCATTGTCTGTAAAGAAAAAATTGTGAAAGCAAGCTTGTAAATAGTGTTCTGATAAACATAATTTACCTGTCAAGTCACAAACGTGTACATAAACCTGTAAGCTAGGAATTACAAGATCTTTCAGTAGCTGCCCATGTCTGACATCTCAGAGAAGCATATTTGCAGGACACGGGATTACACTGTCAACTACCACCCATCAATATTCATCAGAGCTGCTGCTTTCATTACCATAATTAGATTAATTTAGAAAAGTAATCTCACCTTCCCAGGTGGTAGCATGCAAAAAGTACTTCCTAATAATTATGTTTTGATAATTTGTACAAGATATCCACACTGTATGTAACTCTGGAACCACAGAAAGCTAAGACTGACAGGATTTTTTTACCACTTTGATGTCTAAAAATCATTAAACTAGCGTTTCTCAACCAATGGGCTACAACCCCCTTTCGCAAACCTCTATCTCCAAAATTATTTATATTACAATTCATAACTGTAGCAAAATTACATTTATAAAGTAGCAACAAAAAAAATTATGGTTGGAGGTCACCACAATGTGAGGAACTGTATTAAAGAGTCAACGCATTAAGAAGGTTGAGAATCACTGCACATACATTAAAATACACACACACACACACACACACACACACACATATAATACTAGTCTTTCCATGCATCTTTCTGGAATCTCCAAGACATAGTGGTTTATTAACAACTACTCCAGGAACATGAACGGTGAAGGTAGCCTGACAACTGGGTAGCAGGCCTGTACTTAGTGTGGTAAAGAAGGGTCAGTGTTCCCACTAGGATTCAGGAGAAGCTCAGCTGCACAGAACTCTGGGCAGAGTCCGACTGTGACATTCCTGAAAGCTCTCAGTTCTGAATGTGAACAGGGAATCACTGTATCCCGTAAGGGCCCCTAAATCTTTTTCTTTTTTTTTAAAGATTTATTTATTTATTTACTTATTTACTTATTTATTATGTATACAGTGTTCTGTTTGTCTGCTTGCTGGCCAGAAGAGGGCACCAGATCTCATTACAGATGGCTGTGAGCCACCATGTGGTTGCTGGGAATTGAACTCAGGACCTCTGGAAGAGTAGTCAGTGCTCTTAACCACTGAGCCATCTCTCCAGCCCCGGGCCCTTAAATCTTTTTTTTTTAATTTTATGATTTATTTATCTTTTATTTTATGTGCATTGGTGTAAAGGAGTCAGGTCTCCTGGAACTGGACTTTCAGACAGTTGAGAGCTGCCATGTAGGTGCTGGGAATTGAACCCGGGTCCTCTGGAAGAGCAGTCAGTGCTCTTAACCGCTGAGCCATTTCTCCAGCCCCCCCCCCCCAAATCTTTAACACTGCCAAATCACATATTCTTAAAGGATTCTGTAGTATAAATCAGATTAGTTCATGAATTACTATTCACTCAGTGTTGGCTTTATCAGGGCATACAAGGTCATTTGTTGTCCATACTCCCACTCAGTTACTTATCCACTCACCCACTAATCCACCCATTTATCATCCATCCATCCAGTCACTAAGCCAGACAGCTCGTTAGCTAACTGGCTTCCCAACCCCTGCACTCCATCCATCTTTCACTTCCTTTATAAAATGTTTAGTTATAGGACTGAGAAGACGGTTCAGTTGGCAAAGTACTTGCCATGCAAGAGGACCAGTGTTCAGATCTATAACACTCATGTAAATGCTGGCTGAGCGGACTGGTAGACTGCCTATAAAACTGGGAAAGAGGAAACAGGATCTCCGGAGCAAGGTATAACTAGATCAGCCAAGTCAGCGAGCTCAGGGTTCAAGTGAGAGACCCTGCCTCGGTATTAAGATGCCAAGTGCCAATCTCTAGATTCCATTCATGCACACACATACACACATGTGCCCCCACACATGAAGACAAGCATCCACCAAACACACAAAAATAAAAGCAAACATTTTCTAAATGTTTGGCTATTGTCTCTTCTCCTATTTTTCCCCATCCATATGAGTTTGTGCTTTAAAAAAAAAACTTTCACTATATCAAAGGGATGTAGAGTGGGGGCAAAACTGAATGAATATTTCCAACTGCTCTATTAAAGACAGCATATTTCACAGTACAGTCACAGACCAACCATCTTAGTGACCAGTTTATTTCACAATACTGCTGTGCCCACTTCTAGACATTTACTCCTACAAGATGGGTTCTTTGGGAATGCAAACTGCTGGGGACACTGAAGAACATGACTATTGATATCACAGTTGCAAATACCCAGGTGTACTTGGGGCTATATGTATTTACAGCTTGATGTCCACGGACAAACTTTCCTGAAGGTCATATCAATGTGCACAGCAGAACCTGTTCTCTTAATATTTGCCAACAGAACCCATACATTAGCTTTTTAAAGCTTATCAAGTCCATTAGCAAGAGAAATTTTATTTTTAAAATTGTTGGTTATTAGGGAAATTAAACAGCTTCCCTCACTCACTTGAATTTAAATTTCCATGAAACATCTACTCAGTTCTTTGCCATTTTCCTTCTGTATCCCTTTCCTATTACTCTTTGGGACATTCTTATTTATTGATATCCTGTGTCTGCTTATAGATTACTTCTCCTTCTCTGTCATTTGTTTTATATTTATTTATTTATTTTTTATTTTTTTATTTTTTTACTCCTTTTGCGGTGCAAGGGATATCAAATCCAGAACCTCGTGCTAGGCAACTGCTCTCCATCTAAGATACACTCCCAGTTCTTCTGCTGTTACTTTTATTCTGAGACAGGGTCTTGCCCAGTTTGGCCTCAACCTCCTGAGTAGCTGGGTTTATAAACATGAGCTGCCACACCTGGCTTCTATTATTAGTCTTTTTAATGGAGTCTTTTGTCATCCAGAAATTTTACATCTTTATGTTGTAAAATCCTTTATGGCTTCATGATGCTCAGAGAATCTTACCCATCTGAAAGATTACAGAAATAGTCCCCTATTTTTCTAGTTGGAAGTAAGTGTTCTTCTAGCCTTTTGCATTTTCTTCCATCTCAGCCTCCATGATTGTGAAATTGGAACTACTTGGGAGCAAATAGAGAGCCTTGTGTGACTATACATCTTTTTGGAGGCAGAACACTCCCTAGAAGTTCAGAAAAAAGAATTCAGTCTTCAGACATTTGACCTATACCAAAAAAAGATGGGTCAGAATAGATGTATCATTTTATAAATCATAAGAATTTTGTAATAAAATGTTTAAAGAGCATCACACTGCCTATAAGTCAATCTTGTTCTCTCTGATTTCACAGTAGCTTATATGTATTTCTCACAGTCTCTATTAAATTAGCGGAATATCTTTAGAATCAAGAATTTGATCATTCATCCAGTGTTCAATCTAGCACTTACTAAATATTCTAGACTATTTGACTAAATGAATTACAGTTCGTTGAAATGCAATAAAAACTGAATTATTTCAAAGATGGCATACTTTATAATAAAAAGACACTGTGAGCACAAGAACACAGGACTGAGACCAGCACCAGGATCCATTTCACACTTACTGCAGACACTCCACTTGCCGAGAGCACCGAGTCTCACACAGGACAGGAGACTAGTCTACTGCTGCGGCAAAAGCTCTGGCAGTAGAATACTTGCATCTCATCTGCGACTACACCGACCAAGGAACTGTTCCACTAGTTTAATTATAACTCCAACTAACATCAATATTTACAAGTTACTTTCAAAGGCTTCAAAAGCACAACAGCTTAAGTGTCTATGTGGGTACCTCGTGCAAGCCCAGTTCCAGCTTCATCACTGTTTCAGAAAGACGGCGATTTTCTATCTTGAGTGATTCTAGCTGACTCAGAATCTTCTGAAGAAGGAAAATCAGGGTGAAAAAAAATCACATAAATCAAATTATCTTACAAAGCTTTTCCATGGATAATTTTCACTAGTCTAGTTATTCTCATCTACATCCTCCATTCATATAGTATGCACATATAGTGTGTGTGTTGCATGTACATAAGGGCACAGGTGTGCCTGCCATGCATGTATGCAGAAATCAGGGCCAGCGTGTTCTCAGAATCCACCTGTCACTGCCCACCCCACCCCACCCTGCACCCACAATGCTGGAGTAACAAAACACAACATGCAGCCTTGCTTGATTTTTTTTTTTATGTAGGTTCTGGGAGTCTGAACTCAGGTCCTCATTCTTACAGAGCAAGTGCTCTTACCCACTGAGCCATCTTCCAGGCCCCACACATCCTTTTAAAAATAATGTGTCAAAGGTGTTAGCAGGTAAACTAGCATGCATGCAATTAAATGTCACTCCCAGTGATGGATGGGAGCGGGAAAGTTTTGAGTCACGGGTAAACCCGTAGTCACAACTTGCCTCCACCCCTGATCTTTCCAATTTCCAACACCACATGGAGCTGCACTTTCATAAAATGCTCAATTAATTTCAGTCCCCGCCCTGCTGAGCTTTTCTGCTTGACCATCTCTATGAAAAGCCTCCTGCCTTCTTTCACACCTTCTTCCTCAGCAGAAACTGTCTGTAGAACTTCCTTACCATTACTTTTTTAAAAGCTCCAGCTCACTATCTCTTTTGTTTGTGTGTTTGTTTGTTTGTTTTTATTTTTCAAGACAGGGCTTCCCTGTAGAACAGCATTGGCCCCTGGCTGTCCTGGAACAAGCTCCTGAACCCTAGCTAGTTCAGGCTAGCCTTGAACTCACAGAAATCCACCTGCCTCTGCCTTCCAGTGATGGGATTAACCACCACCACCCAGATTCCCATTATCTTTTTTAACCTAAATTGAGAAATATCTTAAGTCTGATTCAAGTCGCTCTTGCACATACTCTATTGCTTTTTCATTAAAGCCACTATGTCTGGGGAAGGGGAATTTCAAATGCCAACTTCTTGCAAGGACTTCTAAAACTAAACCTTGGATTCCAGTCTTTCTGTGGAGCCGACTAACCAATTTTCCCAGATAAAATTCCAGCCTTTATCTGAAGCCAAATGAGCCAACACCCCCTCCACTAGCTTCCCTACCGTGTCCCTCTAAGAACTGTAGCATCCTCCCCAACCCTTTAGCTATCTTCTGTCTCATTACAGAGCATTACTCAACTGCCCAAACTTAACTCCCTCAATAACAGCTTCTCTCAGAGTCTACTCTGCTATCCCAGTCTAATCAAACACAAAGCCTAGCCAATCAAACCAGGCAAGAATCCTTAGAAGCCATCACTTCCCTCTACAGCCTTTGCACACTGCTCAGGCCACACGCTGTGTCACACCCACTCCGCATGCAGGGTCTCTTCCACCCTTACCCATTCTCCACTGCAGCAGTAGATATCTTTACTCTAGACTGGGAACTCCCTGGCTATGCCCACCACCTTGCCCACACAGTACTGGGGGATCTATTTTCCTTGTCTGTATCCATCAAACCTCCCCACCAATCCTCACTACACTGCGAGCTGACCATTCAAAACAGGTGTCTACTAAAAGCTCACTGGGGTAAATATGGAAGCTATACCTTGAATAAATTCATTCTTTGAAAACAAAACAAGCAAATATCAATTAGAAAGCTCTGGGTGGACTTTACCTTATGCTCAGCTGCCTTTTCTTCTGCTTTCTGCATCTCTGTCTTCAGCTGCTTTTCCATGTCTGAGGAAGAGCACTTGGCAGAAGCAATAGTGATATCTCGCTGGTGTAACTCCCGAGTCAGCTGGGAGATTTCCATCTTCATTCCTTCCAGCGCAGAGCTATAGGTCTGATCAGCCTGCAGAATCTGTTCTTTCAACTACAGAGAAGCACATAAACATCAAAAGTGCAGAAACGGTATTTAGAATTTGGGCATATGATAGTACACAGGGTTAATTCTAGCACTCAGGAGGCACAGTCAGAGGCAGGAAGACCCTAAGACTGAGACCAGCCTGCTCTAGTCGGTGATTTCAAGGCCAGATTGAACTTCACTGGAAGATCCCGTCTCAATAAGCGAGGTTTGGGGCTGCAGCTCAATGGAATAGCACTTGCCTAGCATGCACAAGGCCCGAGAAGACAAAAAATACTTAGAGAGAAAGACACTTGGTTAATGGTTACCAAGGAAGGGTGTCACCTTTTTTGGTGGTGTAGTCACTGGCAAACTGCTCCAGTAAATAAGCCCTAACAATGTTCATGTAAGAACCCTAACTAAACTCAGTAGTCCTAAAAAAATAAAAAAAAGTGAAAGCAGCAGAGAGGCTAGATGGGAAAGGTGAGCTCAGCTGTAGAAGGGGGACAGAAGAAGGTACTGGTGGGGAATATGATAGCAGTACATAGTATGTATTATGAAACTGACAAATCAATATTTAAAATGGACATAATTTAACTAAGAAAATATATAAAACATTAGTAAGGCAATGCTTATCTTAACTCAATACATAAAATTATTCCTAGATTAAATAGACAGAAAATGAGCAACTTACCAACTTGTATAATTATTCTGAAAGTCTGGTGGTTAAACTTAAAATCGTGTATTAAGTATCAGAAGAGCATGAGTTACTCAAACGTCAATGTCAAGGTCTATGTCCAATTTATGTAGAGGGCCCTAAGGCTTTCATTCTTCTCACGGCTACAAATTAAAATTTTGTTTTTGTTTGTTTATCAGGTTTTCTGGTTCACAGAACAGACATAAAAGATAATAGGAAGAAGGGAGCAAGAGCTTTTGGGGAGATGGCTCAAGCTATGATGCCCCTAAAGGAGAAGCATGAGGGCCTTGTCTACATTCCTAGCACCCAGTAAAACATGCTTTGGCAGTTTGTGTGTCTGTAACCCTACCATAGGGAGAGAGGACACAGGTCATCCTGGAATCAAAGACCAGCTAGGCTAGTTAACCAATGAGTACTGAGTTCAGCAAGAACCCCTGAGAAATCCTGTCTCAAAGAGGGGGGGATGAATGTCCAGGAAGAGATAGCAATAGACAGATACCCAACATCTACTTCTGGGCTCTATGCACATATATGAACACATGTGTGTACATGCACATGCATGTACACACTAATACACGCAAACTAGGAATAATCTCAAGAAGTAATGAAAATGTAATTAAACCACGCATGGTGTCACACACGTCAAAATTCAAAGGCCAGAGGATCGTGAGTTTGAGGCCAACCTCAGCTACATAGCAAGACCAAGCCTCTATACAAACAAGTAAATAAATACCAACAAAGAGCAAAGCCAGAGCCCTTTATCAATGTATTGTTGGTATTTTGAGACAATCTTATATATTCTAGCTAGCCCTGATTTCCTGTGTCTTCACTTCTCAAGTGCTAGGACTATAGTGTACCAGCATACCTGGGCCAAGACCCTCTAATAGAAAGGCTCTGAATAACTCAACAGTCAATGAGGACACTAACTGCATCATAGCAAAGAGGAAATACATATTTAGCCAATGAGAAGATATTAAATGACAGGTCACAAAAAATGTTTTTATAAGAAACAATACAGTTATTTGGAAATCATTATGATGTTTAAAAGAAAGTTTTAAAGTTTGACGTGAACAGATTTCAATTTCATTTTTAATTTGCTGATTCTTTCACAATTTCATTCATATACACAATGTACTTTGATCATCTCCCCATCATCCTCTTATCCCTCCCTTCCTTCCTCACTGAACCTCTTCTTTCCAGCCAGACTTCCACCAAGCGCACTCCTGAACATTAGTCTTTCCCTCACTAATCGTCTCCCCACTCGCCCCTTGGCCCATAAATACATCCACCTTTGTGACCCAAGCACACAGGGCTTCACCTTTTTAATCTCGGTCCTGTACTCATTGTTATGCCCTTCCATTCTCTTCAGTTCTTCATATTTTTCCATTAATTCTTGGCTCAGCTGTTTACATGTTGCACTCACAGATTCCAAACTGTATTGCAGAAATACAACCACATATAAATAAAATTCTTGAAATCCGTAAAATGGATTACCTAAATGTACCCTCTTGATGCCCAAGATACATCCTCCTAATACCTTAAACGTCATACCCCATGTTAAAAGTCCCTTCCAATTGCCCATAACCAGATGCAGCAAGTCCATCCCAAACCTTTGAGGTAGCTTTGACTTCAGTGTTTACCTCCACTCCTTCCTCTTGGTTTAAACTGAACTAGTTACAGAATTATAAAGGTACCAGCAACTTTACTAACAGTTTTACTACAGCCATACGATTTTTCTCTAACTGTATGAGAGAGGGAAAGCCACCAAGAACTGTCACAAGTGAAACTCATCACCTTAGTGACACATATGCCAGACTATACAAAAACCTCAAGAACAACCTTTAAAGAATAGTAACTCACAGGATGGTGATGGCACACGCCTTTAACCCCAGCACTCCAGAGGCAGAGACAGGTGGATCTCTGAGTTCTAGGCCAGCCTGGTCTACAGAGTTTCAGAACAGCCAGAGGTACACAGAGAAACCTGTCTCAAAAAATCAAATAATAATAACAATAATAATTAGTTATAATAATAAGCATTATTTGAGTCCATCTAAAGTAAACAGAGTCAACAGTGATCATGAATGTCTCACATACTCCAAAAGGGGTAAAGTCGAGGGTGTGAGCAAACAAAGCACGCCCAATACTAGTGCCTTCCAGAAACAGCACAGTGAAAACAAAAGGATGTAATGTATAAAGAAAACCTAGAAATGCAAAATGGCATCTCTTCTTGTTCTCTGTTTGCCTAATGGCTAACTTCTGTTTTGTTTTGTGTAGCTCTTGTAGACCAGGCTGTCCTAGTACTCTCTCTAGCCTCAAACTCACAGAGATCTGCCTGTCTCTGCCTCCTGAGTGTTGGGATTAAAGGCATACACCACTGTCGACCAGCATGGCTAATAATTTAGGTAAATATTTCACCGACCTTTTGCACACACAAAAAATTAACACACAAGCAATTATGATAAATGAGTTTAAAACAATTTATCAAGCTCTTTCCAGTAAAAAATGCTTACAAATATAAAACTATAAAGTTTGTAACTCTGGCAAAAATAAGCATCACCTGCTACACTATACCATGCTAATGCTACACTATGCCATGCTGTACTACAGTGTGCCATGCTGTGCTACACTATGCCATGCTGTGCTACACTATGCCATGCTGTACTACACTGTGCCATGCTGTGCTACACTATGCCATGTTGTGCTACAC